TATAAATGATGATTAACTTTTTTTGGAACTTTATAAAGTTTACATATGAGAAATACATTCTTAAAAGAGTACAACATACGTACTACTCACCTGGTGTAAACTGGACCGGACACAAAGAATTCTAACCTTTCCATGGATGATCATTATCATCTGACCATTCACTGCTACTCTAGGATGGTCTATGTAATTAGATACATTTCTTTCTCGACAATAAAAATATGTATATGCAATAATATATTAATGAATAAGAATGGAATAATAGGCATATTGGCCTAAATAAACCCCCCTTTGTCATCGAAATTTACCGGTCATCTCCAATAAAATTTTCATAGGATTTAGACGAATAAAATTAAGCTGTTAACAAATGTCTTTAAAATTACTCCCTTAGTACAGCAACCATACAAAAATCAATGTAGCTGCACTAAATATTCCAGCGATTAAGCATGGCCGTCGGAACCGCACCAGCCGCACCGGTTTGGCCGGAACAATTTTTCTCATATTTTCATTACTTTAAAAAAATACATATACTTTTACCTATAAATTATATTAATAATTTTTGCACTTCAATGTCATTCGAATGTTTCACCATGTACGTGTTTTTTAGTGTACTATTAGCCTATGCATTGCATGCTCCTGTTATAAATTAATTTCAAAATTTTTTAAAATATTTGATTTTAAATTTTGCTCACGTTTGCCCCAAACATGTAGGGTATCTAGTCGTCCACTAGGGGAAGTGTCTCTATAGGTTGCCAGATGCTATTTCCAGGCATCTAGCGTTGTTGTTATTTCTTTTTTTCTTTTTTTTTTTTGGCACAATAGTTTTAAGGGTTGGGGCTTAGCGGAATAGTTCATTATCTCTCCAGTCGTATGGGAGGAAGAGCTGTTGGCTCAGTATACTTTTATAGTCATTTGCATAATATGTACATTGAAATAGCATTGCAAGGGTCTGCTCAGAGTAGAAAATGTAGTTGTAAACTGTAAACAATATATAAAATAGAGTAAATATATTATACCTGTCTCTTATACACATCTAGATGTGTATAAGAGACAGCAAGTCACCCCCACCCTCGGTATTTCTAATTTAGTTATAAAAATAATAATTTATATAGACCTGTTAAAAAGTAACTTAACTACTTGGTAAAAACTACCCCGGCCGAACAGCATCCCAGAAATTATGAGTGAACTTTCTATTGTTTTCCTCTGTTTATAATGTAATGTAGGCCTATGTCTACTTAAATCAGTAAGAAGAAAATGCCATACAAAGGCACTTTCTCAAAAAAAGGTCTTTATATTTTGAAGTCGGAAAACATCAGTGTCGGCGCCACCAGCGGAGGTGGGGGATAGGTGTTCTGGGAAACGGGATCTTAGACTTCCTGGCATGGAAATTTCCTGGCATGGATTGTCGAGAAATTTGGATCTTCAACGGGAAAGCTATGGCGTCGTCACTGCATTACGTCCGAGTGGGCTGTGGGAGGGCCTAGTGGTGAGGTTTAGTCGGATCATGGTCGGATCTACGCCAAATTATCGAAACCCAGTTAACCGAATCCAAGATTGCCTATTCTACTTTGTCGAAACCCAGTTTGCCGACTCAAAAACCATGAATCCCATTTTGCCGAAACCCAGTTTGCTGAAAGTCAATCAAAAAGGAGTGAAACATTAAAAACAGCATAAAAGTAAGGGCATAGACATGGGCGGCGGAACG